GGGGGGGGCGATCCGATGGGGGGTGCCGGGGCGGGGGCTCAGATCCCAGCCGGGAAAGCGGCAGCGAGGGTCCCGCCCTGCAGAGCAGCCGCCCCCGGGAGATGCCCGGGCCCGGAGCGGTGCTATCCGCGTGGGGGGGTGCGGCAGCCGGGCCTGCTCCAGCCCCTCCCGTCTGGGCCGCAGGCAGCACCGGCTCCCGTCCCCCCGCCCCGGCTGCCTGTGTGACCCCCGTGTGTGTGTCTAGGTGTGGCCAGGATCCTGTCTCGGGAGGCTGGAGTAACGGACATTGCGGTGCTGCAGGTAAATCCCACGCTCCAGGCAGGAGGAGAGGGGCTGTAACAAGCCCGTGAGCCCCCACCCCGGGGACTCCCGCTGGGCTCCAGCCTAGAGAGCCAGCCTGCCCCTCGTTTTCATGGACCCCCGACTGCCGCTCAGCCTGTCCCCTCTCCCGCAGGCTGCTCTGCTGCACGACACAGTGGAGGACACAGACACCACCTTCTCGGAGATCGAGGAGCAGTTTGGGCGGGAGGTGAGGCGGATTGTGGAGGAGGTGACGGATGACAAGATGTTGCCCAAGATGGAGCGGAAGCGCCTGCAGATAGAGCGTGCGCCCCACAGCAGCCGGGGAGCCAAGCTGGTCAAACTGGCAGACAAGCTGTACAACCTGCGGGACCTGAACCGCTGCACGCCAGCAGGTTGGCACGCCGGGGCTCCCTGCCGCTCATGGGCTAGCTGTGGGCACGGGAAGTGCTGGAGCTACCCTCTGCTGCATAGCGGCACCACCGCTCATGCATTTGGCGTCTGCCTCAGTGTTGGGAGCTCTGGAAAGAGGCAATGTGCCCTATTGCTACATAAAGCAAACGTGGAGCCTCCTCCAGCTGCAGTAGGAGAGGCAGGGCATTATCGGGGGCTGAAAGTCCTGGCACCCGGCCCGGGGTCTGCATGTGCCCAGGGACAGTTCCAGCGTCTCTGCATACTGAGCGTGTGGAGAACAGCTCCGTGCTGAGCCCACACGTACACTGAGAGCAGAGCTCTCTGTCAGGTACCCTGTCTTTGGCCGGCTACCATCTGCCTACCGAAGCTGAGCAGAGCGGCCGGCGCTTTGGCCCTCATTGTAAGAATGCGTCCATCAAAGTAAATGGGACTCTTTCCTTTCCTTTGCCTGGCACCACCCCCTATGGGCCCTAGCTCTTGCAGCCTATGCTGCGAGTTGGCATGTGCCTCTTGGGGTCACAGCCTGTCCCTCTGTGTGTGCTGCCTACTTGTATCGGTATGTCTCTGACACACGGTGCTCTCTGCCCTAGGCTGGTCTGAGCAGCGGGTCCAGGAGTACTTCCTGTGGGCCTCACAGGTGGTGAAGGGTCTGCGTGAGACAAGCCCTGCGCTGGAGGAGAAGTTGCAGCAGCTGTTCAGGGAGCGAGGGCTGCCGGAGTGACTGTGCGGGATGCCTGCCATGTGATGTTAACTACTGACTCCCGAAGCATGCCTTCCACAGGCCAGCTCCCTCAGACCAGCCAGCCAGTGATAGCTGCATGGACGCCTCTTACTAACCCACCTATTCGGGCACTCCTGCCCCCTAGGCAAGGGAGGGTACAGAGATGGGGGCCAGATAAAGGGCAGCACAGAATGGGACAGGGGATTAAAGCCCAAGCAGTCACCGGCTACAGAATACCCACACTCTCCTGGGGGGTGGGGGAGGCAGCACTGATTTCCACTGCTTCTCTCCTTCTCCTCTGGCCTCCAGCACTGAACTTCCCTCTCCAGAGGGAGCAGGACATACGCTCCTCCTAAAGACTCCCATAAACCTTGCCCTGTGGCTCAGCTGAGGAGGAGAAGTGGGGGTTGACAGACCCTTCCCCTCAGCTTGTTTCCTGTCCCTAGTACAGGTGGGGTGGGGGCCCTAAGGCTCTGGGGAGGTCACACCCTAACTGGGGGTCAGGGTCTGGGCTCTGAGTGCAGCCTGCTCAGCTTGGGGACCGAACCCAGTAACTGTCTCTAAATAAAAGCCCTGAGTGCCATGAACCTGGTGTCTGCGTCCCTCGCCCCTGAAGTCTGGGCAGAGCGTAGGCCTCCTGCCCTGGGGCTCTGAGGGGCTGGGGGGAACCAGAGCTGCCAAGCCCATGGGCAGAGCAGCTGGACTGCGGCAGGCTTCACTTGGCAGCAGTGCGGGGTGGAGCCCCCTGGGAGGGCGGGGGAGGCTGGAGGGCCTGGGTGTGGATGCACACAGCCCCTCCCCGCGCCTTCTGGGCCCCCCTCCCCGGAGAGCCCCTCCTTGCACCCTCCCCCTGGAGAGCCCCTCCCCACGCCTTCTGGGCCTCCCCTCCCCACATCCTCCCCCTGGAGAGCCCCTCCCACCGCCTTCTGGGCCCCCCTCCCCGGAGATCCCCTCCTTGCACCCTCCCCCCTGGAGAGCCCCTCCCCGCGCCTTCTGGGGCCCCCTCCCCGGAGATCCCCTCCTTGCACCCTCCCCCCTGGAGAGCCCCTCCCCGCGCCTTCTGGGGCC